CACAGCTTGTGTAGGGCAAGAGTTTTGAGAGAGTTATGTGTGCACGTATTACTGGATGATGTTAATGCAAGCAACATGGAGCCAGATGACCATAACAACTCATCACATATACTAGTATATGCTATTAACTTTCAACTGGGAGCATAACTAGGGATACCTATAATAAGTCAATAATATTGCCATGTGAATAATTTTGGACAATGCTTGTAGCATAATAATGATTCCTCTCGATAGCATGGGTTAACTCAACAAGTCAGTTGATACTCTATTATTCCACAGTTCTTTTGTGTATAAGGGAGGAAAGAGAAAATGTCATTTATAGGACATTATTTGTGATGTGTCACCTCTCGAAACGATTCCGAGACGTACATTGGTTTGACAGTGTTCGTAAGGCCAGATAAAATCACGGGCAGGGTAGAGACCGGTTTGGGTGGCAAACAATACTCCCATGTTTTCCACAGTGAGCTATTGAAGCGACCAGGATAACGTGATTAAGCCTGGCTTATGCTTCATTGTTAAAAAAAGAGATCCTGGTTGTTTGGTTGTCCAAACAATAACCTAAGACGTTTGACTTTCATGTGTTTTCTGGGCCGTACGAATGGAATGAAAGCACCATGTGCTCATACTCAAGGAAGAAAGGTTTCGTTTAATTTGATTTCGAACGCTTGAAACTGAAACTGAAATATCACATCGACATGATTTTCAGTAACTGTTGCATATATCTAAGTAGCATCATACAGCAGCAAACGTTCAACAAATGAACATAGACTAAATCGCTATCAGTATTGAAATGAGGTGAAGAAGCATCACTGATGTACACAGAGGCATGCGGTAGACGTTTCATCTCGACCCCCTCCGTGGGCTGTCGGAAGCGGAAGGTTAGGGGTACGATCCCCGGCCGCGTCATACCAAAATACGTTAAAATGGTACTTGTTGTTACCCTGCCTTGGTATTAAGGGGCTAAAATAAGGACTGGTCGGTATACTGTGTCTGAGTTGAGTTTTCATGTTAAATCCGTGAGTGTCTCGGTAACACTATAAAATCGGCATTAGTCCGGACTAGTACAAGCAGTCACACACACGTGCATGCGCGTCACATTATAAGACTTTATAATTATCTGAAACTCCATTTCACCTCACCCGTTCCATCTACAGAAATTTCATCTACTGTACTGATATTGAGACTGGCTCGCCTCAACAGCCCGGCAGTGATTTCACTGGGAAAGATTACCTAACGCACCGGTTTCTGCGGGTACATTCCATCAAGCTGTTGACTCCAATCAATAATTAAGTTAATGAAGAAACCCCGAGTCATGTTGAGCAAAGATTGATCATTTTCTAGTCGCACGCTTCGTGAACTTTGAATAATTGCCACTATCGCTCGGAGCCTTTATTCATTAAAAATCAATTGTTTAGTCGAGCACGGGCTGTAGCCTCGGTTGGATCACGACTGGCACACCGGCTCGAGCTGTAATGTGTGTGACGTCACGGGAGTCGGGTAGCCCAATCTCCTCGGTGCGAGTGTTTGATCCAGCCAAAATGGTATGGTGATATGAATTATTTATCCAAGTACATGGAGATTTAATTACACTGGCTTGTGTTCCCATCGCGATATCCTAACCCTGGCGAATTATGAGGTGGTGAATCTACGATCACGCACGCGCGGGTTTGTGGTTGGGGATATTTATTTGAGCATACGACCCGTGAAGATCCGGGGTGGAATAGGTCTTCAGCAACCCATGCTTACCGTAACAGGCGTCTATGCTTGTCGTAAGAGGCGACTAACGGGACCGGGTGGTCAGGCTCACTGACTTGGTTGATGCATGTCATCGTATCCCAATTGCGTGGATCGATGCTCATGATATCAATCACTGGATTGTCTGGTCCTTTTACAGCAATCATGGGTTGCTGAAGACCTATTCTACCCCGGATCTTCACGGGTCGTTAACTCATGTGCTCCGCGTGAATTGAAAAGCTATCAAGTACTCTTCTTCTAATGATGTGCAGTATTATCTGAGAGATGTCCTCTAATCTGTAGATGACAAAGTTGTTATGAAATGAAAGAAGCCGCCATGCTGTGGCCAATTGCAAGAGAATCTAAAACAAGTATTAGTTGTTGGGGTAATTATGTTTAGTAAGTTGCGTTTTTTAATCAAATTAACTACCATTGATATAATTGTATACAATTTATTAAACATACGAGTCATTAACTTCGTGTATTATATAAAATCTGACATCGCCATGCAAACGTTGTTTGTTGTGTTTAACATCGCTACCCGCATTCAAGTGCTCCATCTTGCCTGCCTGGTCATCTTACATGAGTCATGTGTTTAACACGATGGATGGTCTTGTGATGTACCAGATCTTCTGGAAAAATATTTTGTACCTGATATTAACATTTCCACCAAAGTAATGGCACTTACTGTAGACCGACATACCTTCATATGTCCTATAACGATGATTCATTACTTTCATCCATACATCAATCCAGATTAACTGGTTTTGAAACTATTTCGATTTTATTATTATATCATTTACCATGTTAATCCAAGCGTTGAAAGATAATCCTGGCAAGGGCAACGCATGTGTTATAAAAGACACGTTGTCGATATCCTGACTGCTGTATATAGCTGGTTTTCATACCTGACACATTCAACGTGGATAGTAATTATCAAAGTAGTTTCATGTTCCCGTACAGCCAACGAACACTGGACAAAGGGCTTGTATCGAAATACCGGAAATGAATTTGGAATTTCAAATTATTAAGAATAATCATAAACCAATGAAATGTTTTAGTTATTCTTTAGGGGGCACGGGTGGCCCAGTCGTTTAGACTCCGCGATTCGCAGTGCAGAGTTGCGTCCCTTGGGCACGCTAGAAACCTATGATTGTGGGTTCGAATTCCGGTTCGCCCTGAGTATGTTTCTAGATTTGTCGGCACCATACCTGTGCTCGTGGGTTTCACCGAAGTGGTAAACGTCTGAGACCTGCATCACTTTGGGCTTACCTCACACATTAAGCTGACACGCCATGATGTAACTGGAATACTGTTAAAAGCGGCGTTAAACCCAACTCACTCACTCACTAATTATTCTTTAAATCGTATTTTCTTCACGTAAAGAAACAAGGCATATTCCATCGTTCCCGATCTTCCAGAATGAACTTATTATATACAGCAGTATACAGATAAGAACTCGTTATGTCATTGACTCAACACTCCCGGACCCTTCGTTTCCATGGAAAAATGGCTGTACAGTAACTACTTGGGGTGTAATGCATACCCTAACAATGGAGGAAAGTGCTAGCATTCCCGAGTGTTCGTCGAGATATACGCCTGTTATTTCAGGGTGGCAATATACCCAATGTTCCCAAGATTCTTTAAGCCGTGTTGGTTTACTCTGAATGACTACGAATGCGAGCCAGGATATGTTTGATTGCACACCGAGAATGACGTTATTCCGCTCCAAGGACCAAACGGGGTGCCCGGGGGTGATCTGTGGCACGCCCTCGACGGGTCCAATCTCGGTGTAAATAGTATTGACACTTCAGCTCGGGGATAAGCACTTATAACTCCATGATTTACTGGTGACTCTTACACTTCACACGTGCGGGCCGATACGTGTTATACAAATCATCACACTGGAATATTGCCTTTATGGTTACATATGTACTGTGTGTCTAAGGTCAGTGTCTTTTATATACTGGTATTCGATATAATGTTATTCCTTCAGATTGCTTATGTCATTGATATGCGCTTTAAAAATGCAGATATGTAAACTATATACTTATACAATTACAGGTCAGCTTATGTCAAGGACATGTAAAAAGTAACACCTAAACTGCTCCTGGGTTCCAAGGGTATATATTGCAGCAACTACGTAGACCCCGTTCTCAGGAATATACACGTTGCAGAAGCGATGTACAGTTCACTTGTAATGAACCCCCATCCTCAAGGACATATACCTTGCAGAAGCTAAAATTCACTTGTAAAGAACTTATACCCCTTCCTCAAGGATATATACGTTGCAATGTGACCATCATGTATATTGACCATCTGCCTTATGATACTTGTGTATTAACCATCTGGCCTTATGATACTTCTGTATTGACGATCTGTCTTATAATACTTGTGTATTGACCATCTGGCCATATGATACTTCTGTATTGACCATGTGCCTTATGATACATGTGTATTGACCATCTGCCTTATAATAGATGTGTATTGACCAACCACCTTATAATACATGTGTATTGACCAACTACCTTATAATACATGTGTATTGACCATCTGCCTTATGATACATGTGTATTGACCATCTGCCTTAAAATACATGTGTATTGACCATCTACCTTATGATACTTGTGTATTGACCATCTACCTTATGATACTTGTGTATTGACCATCTGCCTGATGATACTTCTGTATTGACCATCAGCCTGATGATACATGTGTATTGACCATCTGTACGTGTAGGGCCTGATTATTTTGCGTCTATAGGGACCTCAAAGGCATCATGGTACATGGATCCACATATCAACATGTGGCAACAACGACCTTGTGCCACGCCCCTTTCCTTTGTTGGTAATGTCGGAAACAGAACGACCTACCCGTCGTGCTGTGTAATTGTAAGTGGATGTCAGATATAGGCCAACCCTACGGAGGGTCTCCACAGCACGCACGCCTATGACAATGTAGAGAGAGAGGGAAGCGGTGCTGGCCGTTGTCTGGCTTCATACTGACATATGTGGCTTTAATGATAATGTAGTCATGGGATGTATGCATGGACATGACGAACATGACATCGTATTGGAAACTACCTGGAACATGTCAGCTCCGGACGTCTTGGATGTTCGGCGTTGCCGAAGCTCTTTCATTTGTTTAATAGTTGGGGGTGAGGGAGAACTGTTTTGGAATTGGGTTGTAGTTGCGTACTGTTCTAAACCTTGTGGGACCGGTGTTTGTGATATACCACACTGTTGATTTTATCAGTCGTGGGACCACCTCGCCCCTCGTGTTGAACAAAACGGACACCTATCACTACCTGGAAATGAATATGTCAACATTGTGTAGTTGTAGTGTTCTGAAAAATAATAATAGCGTACTTATCCCCACCTCTTGACGCTGCATGTAAACTAGCCCCTAACAGATAGCGTCTTGTCATACCATGGGTTTCCATGCTGTGGGCGTTTGCAGACGACTGCGTTTTATTTGATACTACATATCCCTGCCTGTGGAGTACCAGAATGGACTTTAAGCCTAGGAAAGGCCACATGTTGTTGTTCGAGCTGTAATTGGTGTTAAATAGCTGCTCACTCGTGTCCAGGAGAGTCGTAAATAGGTAAAGTGGGTTCGGTCTAGACCCCATGTCGTAAACTGCTTCACAATTATATGACAATGGTGCTTGTGGTCAACATGAGAAACTCCTTTACTACAAAGTTATGTTCATCGTTAAGTCCGTGAATGGGAAGGATAACATGAAGTGGACACCAAGCACTCCAGCAAACAGACCAATAACACAGTGTCAAACAAGCGAGATAGATATTTCAGTTGATGTCCAGCATGGAACAATAGAAGCGGTCTGTATACTCAATGCGCGAAATAACGCAGCGTCTAAGGGGTAACGGATACCATAACCGATGGATACTGCATTATTTCTGAAAACAGAACGTGGTTAACAAATAAAATACCAGCACAACGTCACTGCTCTGATTGTGAGGCCCATGAAACGCCAATGTCAATGTGATACTTTCCGATGGCGTGCTACCTGTCATTAAGGAGGCGAGATCTACGGGTTTGAATGAGTCTGCATACTTTGCACTTCGGACTGGGATATCAATATTTCCACGCTGTGTTTTATTGGTAAAAGGTGTTACAGTGGATGAATTTACTTCAATTCTATAAGGACTATGGATAACAAATGCCCGGATGAAGATTTCCAGGAACCTCAGGTATTATATCATTACTGTGAAAACATGTTGAAATATATATGCCTTGATGTAGACCTATCAGGGTAATAAATCGAATATGACTATTCAGTTCGCTCCAAAATGATCACGATCTGATGGGAATCCTATTCAGCGACCTTTAAAAGACCTTTAATCATTCATGTGAGCGTTAGTCTTTGTAACTGTAATCGTTCACTTAAAACAATTCATTGATGTTGTTTTTCTGTCCTAACTATAGTTTGCCCGCTTCCCTTGTAACTGAGGTTATAAAAAACATTTTTTATACGCTTGGACATCACGAAGCAACTCCTTAAAGACATCACCAACTCAGTGCCTTAAAGGTGCTGTTTGATGCTCTTCATCAAGTGATGTAAAGTGTACCCATCATCTATGGACCAGTAACGTCAATATAGGCGTGTCTGTCATCGTGTCTGTCAACAGAACAAAATCCGTCAGGTGCTATTTTCCACGCGGTTGAAGAATTAGGTTTGTCCGGATAACGGAGGTCCCATACAAACGAGATTCCACTGTACATGATATTTTATTTAACATAAGGAATGTGAAGTGTTTTATTTAAGGACTATGTGTCCCTGAGGGATCATAAATCCACTTATCATATCCCTCAAGTAGAAGTTAACGCATTTAAGATACGAGGTTCACATAATATATAGAAGCCCTTCAGGGTACTCGTCAGTGACTTAACAATTTCTCCTTGTGTTTATGTTCGGAAAATGACGTTTTACATCACTGATTCTCAAGTCTCTCAGATTATTACCGATCTACTTACGCCGTATATCCGAACGGAAGATGCTCCAAGCTAGGGCCAACCAAGTGCTCGATAAAGGTTATTGACTGGCAGAAATGTAAAGAGTGTTTAGCTATTCTGACTCTTGATTCATGAAAGTGTTCAGCGTGTGTATGGTTAGTTGAGTTTCCTGAAGGTGAAGTGCAATGGCAATCTGTTGCAAGTGACAACATTTATGACATGTTGTAAACAAGGATAAACGCGGTGAGACACTTTACTCCAGCGTTAATGCAGAACAACAATTGGTTTGGTGGTTTAAGGGGTATTCTTGACAGTCAGGGTAGAATTTTATTGTCATTTGCTCGTCAGGAGTGGTCAGGTGAAGTGGACGTTATAACACCGTGAGGTCGCACATAGCTAATAAGGGGACTAATGTGTTGGTAAGGTAAACAGCGTACTGATAACTTAAGTGTGCCCATTGACAGGTGAACATGAACATGGCAGGTGAACTTAAGTATGAAATAATGCACATACACAGGGGAGCATACACATGGCAGGAAAACATAGGTAAGGAAAGGTGAACATAGATATGGGTAGGCGAACATAGACGTGTACAGGTGAACATAGGCATGCATAGGTGAACATAGATATGGGCAGGTGAACATAGATAAGTGAACTTAAGTATGAAATAATGCACATACACAGGGGAGCATACACATGGCAGGAAAACATAGGTAAGGAAAGGTGAACATAGATATGGGTAGGCGAACATAGACGTGTACAGGTGAACATAGGCATGCATAGGTGAACATAGATATGGGCAGGTGAACATAGATAAGTGAACTTAAGTATGAAATAATGCACATACACAGGGGAGCATACACATGGCAGGAAAACATAGGTAAGGAAAGGTGAACATAGATATGGGTAGGCGAACATAGACGTGTACAGGTGAACATAGACATGCATAGGTGAACATAGATATGGGCAGGTGAACATAGATAAGTGAACTTAAGTATGAAATAATGCACATACACAGGGGAGCATACACATGGCAGGAAAACATAGGTAAGGAAAGGTGAACATAGATATGGGTAGGCGAACATAGACGTGTACAGGTGAACATAGACATGCATAGGTGAACATAGATATGGGCAGGTGAACATCGATAAGTGAACTTAAGTATGAAATAATGCACATACACAGGGGAGCATACACATGGCAGGAAAACATAGGTAAGGAAAGGTGAACATAGATATGGGTAGGCGAACATAGACGTGTACAGGTGAACATAGACATGCATAGGTGAACATAGATATGGGTAGGCGAACATAGATAAGTGAACTTAAGTTTGAAATAATGCACATACACAGGGGAGCATACACATGGCAGGAAAACATAGGTAAGGAAAGGTGAACATAGATATGGGTAGGCGAACATAGATAAGTGAACTTAAGTATGAAATAATGCACATACACAGGGGAGCATACAAATGGCAGGAAAACATAGGTAAGGAAAGGTGAACATAGATATGGGTAGGCGAACATAGATAAGTGAACTTAAGAATGAAATAATGCACATACACAGGGGAGCATACAAATGGCAGGAAAACATAGGTAAGGAAAGGTGAACATAGATATGGGTAGGCGAACATAGACGTGTACAGGTGAACATAGACATGCATAGGTGAACATAGATATGGGTAGGTGAACATAACTATGGGCAGGTGAACATAGACATGCATAGGTGAACATAGATATGGGTAGGTGAACATAGACGTGTACAGGTGAACATAGATATGGGTGGGTGAACATAGATGTGTGCAGGTGAACATAGACATGGGTAGGTGAACATAGACATGGGCAGGTGAACATAGATAAGGGCAGGTGAACATAAATATGGGCAGGTGAACATAAATATGGGCAGGTGAACATAGATAAGTGAACTTAAGTATGAAATAATGCACATACACAGGGGAGCATACACATGGCAGGAAAACATAGGTAAGGAAAGGTGAACATAGATATGGGTAGGCGAACACAGACGTGTACAGGTGAACATAGACATGCATAGGTGAACATAGATATGGGTGGGTGAACATAGATGTGTGCAGGTGAACATATACATGGGTAGGTGAACATAGACGTGTACAGGTGAACATAGATATGGGCAGGTTAACATAGACATTGGCAGGTTAACATAGATGTGTGCAGGTGAACATAGACATGGGCAGGTGAACATAGACATGGACAGGTGAACATAGATATGGGTAGGTGAACATAGATAAGGGTAGGTGACCGTAGACATGACGGGTGAACATTGATATGGACAGGTGAACATATGTATTGACAGGTAGACATACGTTTTGGCAGGTGAACAAAGGTATGGACAAGTAAACATAGGTATGGACATGCGAACATAGACATAGACAGGTGGACATAGACATGGCAAGTGAATGTAAATGTGGACAAGTGAACATGAAAGTGTAAAACTTGTACAACGTATCAGTAGCATTAGTCATGTATGTATGTTACTCCGGAACTGGTTATCGAGTACAGGTCCAGGTGCAAAATTCCAAGATTCCTGGTACCTGTATGACCATAATCTACTCGTCACCAGTAAATATCGTAATTATATTACACCATTGTTAAAACAATTGGTGTTCGTGAAAAGGAATGGCATTGGGTAATACGAATAACCCACAACATGGGTGGATTGATAACCCACCTTTATACAAAATATGTCATGTGTGAATCTTAATGCCATGAAAGTGAATCATGCCGTTTATAGAATGAACAAAAAGCACTATGATAGATGTACATTCAGCCATTGTGTTCATTGGTTCGAATACATAAATTGGCATCTTATTAAATAGGTTACCATTATTTAGGTCAGTGACAACGCGAGATGTAGTCCTGGTTAACTTATATGTTAAAGTCGTGACATCGCTGTGTGATGCATATTTGATGCGTATGTGTACGCATTGTTCACCTGTTGGCGACGTACAACCAAACGTAGTCCAATGGTATTAAATATTGTGCACTCCTTTGATCCCCGAGAACACGTACGTATATATGATAATAAACAAAAGCAACAAACACCTTTCCATAACCATAATAAATCTCCGCTAAATATATACATAAATAAAGATATAACACGTCAATGAAAGAATAATAAGTTTCCATTATCTGACGAAACAGATCCGGTTCGGCATAAAATGCAAAATAGCGGTGAAAATTACATGAATTGATCACTGAAAATCAGTGATGACACCAGGTGTTCGCGAAAAGTGTAAGCATGTCCTGTCGTACTGTACGATTCCGACCCTGTGATGAATCTACCATAATACGGATCCTCACGACCTAGAGTGTCAACTGTGTGCAACAGGGTTGTTCACAATGCATCTGCATTGGCTGGCAGCCTCATGCTGTACTCGGAGCGGTTGGGTAGCCCACTGGTTAAAGCGTTCGCTCGTCACGCCGAAAACCTGGCTTCGATTCCCGACATGGGTTCAATGTGTGAAGCCAATTGCTGGTGTCACCCGCCGTGATATTGCTGGAATATTGCTAAAATCGGCGTAAAAACCTTACTCACTCACTCACTCACTCATGCTGAACTGTGTGACTGTCAGATGTCTCTGATATTTCTACTGCGACAAACAGTGTTGATTTCGTCACTTCAATCAGATTATTTTGTTTGGAAGACTATATCACGTTCTTGACAATAACGCAGGAGGACGCCATGGTACTTCAACTTACAATTCAGCTGGAACTTTTATGATAGCTAAATTGCACTGGCGCATATGACGTAAAATTATCAATCCAGATAGTTCTACATTAAAGGATAATATGTCATAATTGTTACTTCCTTCAAGGTACCTACTTATAGATGTATAAACGTCACCGTGCTACGTTCATTTGGCACAACATCACTTTTCATCGTTGGGGTGTTTTGGTGTTAGTTGTTTTAATGTACTTCTGATTGATTGGGGCGGTGGGGTAGCCAAGTGTTTTAAGCGTTCGCTCGTCACGGGCTCGATTCATCACATGGGCGCAATGTGTGAAGCCCATTTCTGGTGTCCCCGCCGTTATATTGCTGAATATTGCTAAAATCGGCGTAAAACCATATTCACTTCACTCACATTGATTGATATCTGTAATGATATCTATAAACCACTTGTATCTACTTCATACAAGAACACAATGCACTCGAGGACATGTGTGTTTACCCGTGAAGATCAGGGGTAGAATAGGACTCCAGCAACCCATGCTTGCTGTAAAAGGTGACTATGCTTGTCGAAAGACCAACGGCATCGGGTGGTCAGGCTCGCTGACCTGGTTGATGCATGTCATCGATCCCTATTACGTGGGTCGATGCTCATGATATTAATAACTGGTTTGTCTGGTCCAGACTCGATTATTTACAGACCGCTGTCAAACAGCTGGAATATTACTGAGTGCGGCGTTACACAATAAACAAACAAAACAAACAAAAAACTTGTAACAGAGAAGGTGCATCATCTGTTTAAGTGTTTTCCCAATTGAATAAGTCATTTGATCACTTTCGTTTGATTATGATGTTAAATGTGTTTTATATGTGCTCTTCATTTAAACTGTCCTTTTTATGTTCCTCATACACCACTACTTTCCTAAATAAATACGTGAAGTATTGATTCACAATTAATCAACTAAACTGTGACACACGAGCAACACTGTTTACTTCCACAACATGCAATTAACAAAACACAGAAACGAACATTTTATATTGGTTATCTGAAGCATGTTGTCTCTGGGGTTTTGTTTATGTCTCATCGCTACAACTTCAAATTAAGTGCAACGTCAGAATCACCGAGAAGTCGTGACACATTGCGAGTCAACTGTCCTGGTTAGCCGGGTATGGTACAACATGGAACACAACACTGTTTGGTGTGCACGAAGTGTCCATTGTTACTGTGTGGGCTTAGATGTTATCAAGATGCACAACGCCATGTTGCCTGCACAGAATAAACACACCATCCTATTTCACAAGCATTGTCATTGTGGCGAAATTGATTGGTTATTGATCTGAAAATGTGTACTTTAGAATTCGTATGTATTTATACCACGTTTGGAATCTTTTTATTCTGTGAAATCAAAGCCACGCGGTTGAACAGGTAGGAAGACATGACGCCAGCTTCTGAAGGCTTGGTATGTATACATGATAATTTTTATATAAAACGTCAACGCCAGAGAATAAACAGTCTCGATTATCTTCTGAAACAGATTCCGTTGGCTTAAAAGGTAAAATAGCGGGGAAAATTATATGAATGGATCACTGAAAGTCAGTGACGACAAGCGGTGTTGGGGAAAAGGGAAAGCATGTCATGCCCTGCCCTGCCGGCAGCACCCGCCACTCACACAATTAGCATAAAAGTTAATTGGTTGTTTGTTACCTGACACCGCACAGCGGTACTCTTACTACAGTAATACAAAGCGAGACATCTTAACATAATTGGTATTCATAGTCCTTTAAAACTTGTAGGTGATGTGGTTATCTGCACAAAGAAATCTGCACTTACACCAATTCTGAAAGGTAACGGTTGACAAAACTCAAAGATAGTCTTTGTGGCGAAACTACAGTTTGGAATACAATAAGGTAACACCTTCCTTCCTGGCTGCTGTGATGTTTTCAAACTGATAGTCACTGATCACCTGTATTGTGTGTTTGTTAGCACCGCACTCAGTAATATTCCAGTTTTATGACGGCGAGCTGTAAATAATTGATTCTGGACCAGACAAACCAGTGTTTGATACTATGGGGCAACAATCCATGCCGTCTGGTAACGAAGACGTTCCATCAACCAAGTCACCGAGCCTGACATCCAATCCGTTTAGTCGCATCTCACGACCAACATGGGCTGCTGGGGAACTCACCAATCAGGATTCCCCGCTTGTTGTTGCTGTGATAGTGGACAAGGTCCAGGGCCTTGCTCTGGGACTGTCGGAACTCCAATTACAGACAAAAGTTTGACCTAGTGCTACTGTCGCTTTATGTGGCCGTGGATCTTGTCCTATCTAGCCACTTAGTACGGGCCCGTGAAAATTCGGGTAGAATAGGCCTTCAGCAACCCATGCTTGCCGTAAAATGCGACTGTGCTTTGTCGTAAGAGACGACTAACGGAAACGGGTGGTCAGGCTCGCTGACTTGGTTGATGCATATCATCGTATGCCAATTGCGTGGACTGATGATGTCAATCAGTGTATTGTCTGGTCCAGACTCGAATATTTACACACCGCCGTCATATAGCTGGAATATTGCTGAGTACGGCGTTAAACAACAAACACACATTTAGTGCAGCAATCCTGATTCCTGGTAAGACGGGTCCCCAGCAGCCTATTCTGGAAAAGGGTATCGATGACATGCGACTAATGACACTGGTACAAACATATCAGCCGCCTCTGTGTTATATGTCATATACCTAAAACGTTGTGTGCATTCAACACTACGTGTATCGTCTTGGATATCACGAGTGAAACCCCTGAATAATGCATTTGCGCTTTGTAATAGATCAAGAAGGTTCAAAGTACACATTTGAAAGGTTAAGCTTCCTATATATTACGTGGTAATTGTGCTCATTAAAACTTTATGTCACCGGTTTCATGTTAATTTAATTCTTTTACCCAGGACACTTGTTTCTCGTTTACGAGTGGTCGTTAAAAAGGATCAATTTTATGTTCGTTTGTATGCTTATACCTGTTTCAACTCCAAACATATTATTAGTTTGTAACCGTAGGATGGCTTTCTGTCAAATTAATAACCACAAGCAATTTACGTATTCATATATAAATATAGTTACACGTTTCTCTGTGTAATATTCATAAAGGGATGACAGGAATTATGATGTGGTAAATAACCCAAATCAGTTTACTTAAGTTCAGTCTTTAGGAGGAATACGGTTTATGAACAGACTAATTTGACGCCTGTTTAACATACGGTATGCGCGGAATCTCAGCATCTTTAATGCGGCGGCTATCTGTAACAAAGTGCCCTTCTTTCAACAATGGGTATCTTATACGTTAATGGGCCTTTTTCATAAGACATAACAAAAGTGTGTGACACGTATGGTCATTCACATCTAACCCATCCATTTTTGTGTCAACCTCCTGTAGTGCGCTAGTACGCACAGTTACACAAAGTTCGTACTATTGGGCGGTGACCAGTAGCGTTATTGACCCCTGTTACACGGGTCCTAACTTCAGCCTGTCCATATTGCGAAATTCTTAATCCAAGGTGTACGTGCCTCGCCATATGGACCGTATGTGTTTGTAACAGAGCACCGCAGAGGACCCATATATATAAACTATTCAAAAGAAGTTAAACAACACCTTATTCTTTCATATTACAGATGCTTATTATTATCATATAGCACACGAACTATAGTAATATGAAAGTATCGGATGTTCAAATGTCTCGTACAATAAAGCAGTAAAGCATTCAATACGCTTTATGATAGACATCTGGAGGACATTTCCGAATTTGGGTGGGCAGGATACCTTTATTCGAACATCTGGTGTTATCACTGTTTGATAGTGATTCGTCAACACATGCTTATGATATAGTCGGAGTCGTACAATCGACTGCTTGTGGCTGCGGAAAGGATATTGTCACTTAACTTCTTTTGAGTAGTATATTATAATTAACTTAAATTTCAACATAGAGACAGTGTGTATGGTGTATTTCAAAACCTACGACAGACTTATTTGAACTACAGGTCACAACTTTAGGCATAATTGTCCTCCACTGTGACCAAATATTGATAGCGATAATGATTTCTTATGGAAATAGTTTTTGTTTGTTTGTTTGTTGTTTAACGCCGCACTCAGCAACATTCAAGCTATGTGACGACGGTCTGTAAATAATCGAGTCTGGACCACACAATCCAGTGACTGACATTATGAGCATCGATCCACGCAATTGGGATACGATGACATGCATCAACCAAACCAGCGAGCCTCACCACCCTATCCCGTTAGTCGCCTCTTACAAGCATGGTCGCCTTTTACGGCAAGCATGGGTTGCTGAAGACCTATTCTACCCCGGATCTTCACTGGCCCTGATGTAAATTACACGCACTGAACCAATAGTGGGGTTTATAATCCCTATGCCTCGTACAATATGTCGCAACCACTCGTATAGCTGCTATAGGATGTATTTTAATTTCAGATGAATCACATTTGTATTTTTATGGATTCGTTGCAACGATAACAAAAGCAAATGTTTAGGGCGTATCATTATCACATTGGCCAGATATACGCCCGCTAACGCAGGTATTACGTACAAGGATATATCCGTAATCGCATAAAGCGTCTTGCAAGAGCAGATTTGAAAAGACACAATGAAACGTCTTGCTTGTGAAATTAAGGGGTGGAATGCATGTTATAATGTAATAGCTTTACAGGTTACATCACATATTCCCATAGTCAACACTATAATTGATTCTGAGCAGCTCCTAAGCAGCTCAAGTGCAAAACAGTGCGCTATGTAACTCGCTCTTGTTGGCCTGGATACGTCTGAGGCCAAAGAATTATGTATTAATCATTTTCCATGACGCCCTCTACATAAGCATCAAAACCACAAGCATTGCGAAGCATTGGTAATAAAATGGAGCTACGCCATCATGTCGCTTAAGATACTGTGTTTGTGCCAAAGCTGGGCATCCACTGACAATGTGTTGGGCAGTCTCATTAAATTCATTGCATAATCTACATTTCATATTAAAATTTACATTTTGGTGCAAAATCGAGTGGGAAGTGACTGGAGCAGCAAAAAGAAGGCCTTCAGTTTAACTTTTCAGGCCAGCGAAGGACTCTCAACACAGTGCACATAAACTCGATACTGTAGTCGTATTATTCTTGTGATTGATTGATTGATTGATTCTGTTGTTGATTGGTTGATTATTCCCTAGGGCTCCGTGATGACGATGTCCACGGAGCAGGACCGGCTCATGTGCCTGGACGCGCAGTGGAAGATAATATTCAATGAGGTGAGCCAAGAGTGTTCACTGATAACCAGCTTCAGTCCGGGTGCCGAAGCTTCTACGCACGTGTGAGCTTAATCAAATTCAGTTGTATCAATTACTCCAATACAGATCGGGTTTGAAGTAGACTGAAACGAATATATGCCAGTCCCAAACAGGATAAGAAATAGCCATCGTTCGCAATTTATGGATCCAATCTAACATGTTAAAAACATTAGAAAACGGTCTGACATAGAGCCTATATGAGGATTTGCTTTTTATGTCAATAAAACCATAACATATTCCACCATACATTGGGTACAACACGCTTCGAAATGTTCTGTAGTTCGTACAGTAACAGCTGATCTATACCTAAAACGTTCAGAGCATGCAGATGCGTACATGTAAATATCTGACAAACGTATCAAGAAAGGAATAAAAAAAGTGACAAGTATGAACTAACTATAGATGTTGGAATGGGTAACCATGTGACCGCCTTTCGATGCAAAATGGTTACCCTGTACATTTTACATATAATGGGCCACTTGTACGACTTTACATCACACTGAGCTCTAAAGTGTGTACTGCATTGCCATTTCCAGCAAATCCGTGCTCCCATCTACGCTGTCGGCCACTACATCAACTACCTCCGGAAGTATGTACACGGGGACAAGGCGGGGTCGGGCGCACCCCCCATGGTACTCAGGGAGGGCATCAGTCCCATGTCCTACCTTCTGCGCAAACTCAAGCTGGATCTAAAGATGTCATATGACAGGTACACAGATTGGTTCTTTGCTTCTTGTTTTATGCCGCAATATTCCAGCAATATGACGGAGGCCGGAATATCCGGTGATTGATATTATAAGCAATGTCCCACCTCATTTGGGTACGATGACACGCAATCAACTACGTCATCGAGCCTGACCAAACAATCCAGCTGAGTCGCCTCGGACCACAAGCAGTGGAGGGGGGCCAATTCAAACCCGGGTTTCTATTGTTCCATCTTCCCCAGGCAAGGGAGTTAACTGACTATAAAAGTCCTGTTTCCACCCTTGCCGATCTAGACTAGAATTCCGGAGTGACATTTTAGCTTGACTAACAAGTATATGCATAGTCCGGTTGTTAAACAACATGGATTTCAACATGCAGATTTCGGTCGACCGCAGGATTTGCAAAACATGTGTCCCGTCAACTTAGTGTGGACAGTTATTTCGCAAATATTTTCATTTTTTTAATCCAGGTGTTCTAGTGATTTTATTAACTTCGTAAGGGTAGGACCCATTTTATTACAATATAGATCTTGATTATCGATCATATCATCTTGAGGGGGCCACCATTTTGTTTGAAACAATATGAGAGATGAAATCTGATTGGTCAGTACGAGGGACATAGCTCGTAGTAGCCACTGGTGGCGCTACGATCGAGCTTGGAAATTCTGGCCTGGTTCGGCAAGGGTGGAAACCGGACTTTTACAGTCAGTTAACTCCCTTGCCTCGGGAAGATGATTTCAGATAGAAGAGGGTGTCAGCCTGGGATCCCAATGTTCGTGCCTTCAACCCCAAATATTTATGACTGAGAGTCCCCTGACTTGAATAGAGATTGACCCAGATAATTCCTGTCTTGTGGTAACAATGATGTAAACTGGCGGGCAAAAGAAAGTATGCACCAAGAAATGGTAATTCGATGGTGATATTTTTTATATGGGTATTATAGTTGTGTAGTGGTCCGTAAGTGTGCAGAGTGTTTTCAGCCAAGTAACCTTTGTAAATTTTGGTCAAATACAATTTTCCAAGTGAAATACTTTCTTTGCCCGGCATTGTATGCCAGGGCTGTAGACCATCAATGTACCGTAGGTTCCATCGTAAGCGCCTGAGAACCCTTTCCTCGTGTTACCACACCTCATGCTATGTATATTAGGGCTGTAGACCGCCAATGTACCGTAGGTTCCATCGTAAGCGCCTGAGAACCCATTCCTCGTGTAACCACACCTCATGCTATGTATGGAAGTTGCGCCTTGCGGACACGGGGCCTAACAGCAAACAAGGGCCACTCATTGGTTAATTGGTGTCACACAGCTTACATGTAAACCATTCACTGTGGTCCACTTGTCACGTAGGATCGCCCGGAGCATCATTTGTCATTTCTCCATAGGAAGACAATTTCTGCTTGGATTGCAGCTCGTGTCTATCGTAGATAATCGACAGTGATCCTACATCAATATATTGATCTCCTAATCTGTTGATTATTTCTCCGCACAAGCGTGTCAATATACATATTAGGCAGTGTTTGATCTGTGATTAAATAAATATAGGTTTTCCATGGTTAATATGATAGAGAGTTGGCTGAAAGTTCCCTGTCCTTTCATCGTTGTTGCGTATCGAAGGTTCGGATACATTTCATTCCAGCCGTGTGACCTAGTTGTTTCGCAGGGGTAATCCCCTATTAATTGAATCATGGCATGCTGCCACACATATAAACAACCAACTTCTACATCATCACCTCTGTTGCCAAAATCACCTTTTCAAGTTGCAATGCAAGACGATTCCATGTGTAAAAGGGAGATAAACGCTATGGGGACAAAATGACAAAACTTACTCGGAAGTGAGCTGCTTTCCGCAACACGATTCGTCAATTTACTTCACTTCCGGTGCCAGTCGGTGATGACGTATATTGACCACGTGGTGTTTGTTTAAACATGGACGAGGAAGGAAAGTTTTCAAAACAAATATATTTTAATCGATAGCCGTAGGGCATTTATTCTGTTAATTTCATGGAGATAATGGTGCATTTAGCTTTAATTTGAAAATGAAATGAACCACGATAGTATCAAAACAGCTAAATGCACTAATATTGCGACTTCAACAAACCAGGAACATGTCTATAAAACGATCATGTTTTCACCATCGTCTACACCGCATGCTTAATAGGGGCGGTCGGGTGGCCTCGTGGTTAAAGCGTTCGCTCGTCACGCCGAAGCCCCGGGTTCGATTCCCGACATGGGTACAATGTGTGAAGCCCATTTCTGGTGTCCCCCGCCGTAATATTGCTGGAATATTGCTAAAAGCGGCGTAAAATCAAACTCACTCAATCACTCACATGCCTAATAGGTTACTATCAGTAGAGTTTGGTCACTATTATTTGTCCTTATGGGTGAATGGAACTCCAAAGCAGAAAGTGTATAACCAGCCAAACAGTACAGATTTTCTTTGCGATGCACTGACTGTCGTTAATAAAGTCGAACCTGCTGCGGTTATGGGAACCTGCCTAGGCTTCGTTACATATGTCTTTGTTTGTTTGTTTGTTTGTTTGTTTGTTGAACGCCATACGCAGCAATAGGTCAGCTATATGACGTCGGTCTGTAAATAATCGAGTACCCGTCGGGGTACGATGGAACGCAATCAACCAAGTCATCGAGTATGACCACCGATCCATGTGGTCCAGGGGCCTAATGTAACCTGGAATCCCCATGTGAGGGTTGCATAAACTACCGGCATAAAGAAAGTAAACACTTGAAATTTAATTAAACATTACAAGGCGTTACTTGTCTGAATGCCTGGTATCTTCGAACCAACTCAAACAGATCATGACAATACCTGCTCCACTCTGCTCGTTACACCGCTATGGAATGACAATTTGGTTATTTTATTTCTAGCCACCATCAAACATTGGTGTATATTTTCTTCTGCCCGGCGGTTTATGAAGTAGAGTTATGTGTATCTGCGAAGAATGACCTTCCTACATCTTAAACATCGTCGTTATTTTAGATAACAGCTGTTGCGACAAAAGCCACGAATGCAATTTACTTTCAAGAAACACACTTCACTTTGCTTTGTCTTAATGAGCCAAATGTCTGAAGACACATTGCCGTATTCCACACCTCCTCCAAGTTTCATGATACTTATATCCCTGTGTTGTTTTCATTCATTATTAACGTAAATACCTTGAACAGAAAACACCGGGGGACTATATATACCGTGACCATGACGTGCATACGTTAGCTCTGCTAGTCCTCTATTATAGGCTTGTGTTGACCGAGGTTTGAACGGCAGTGAAGTCTTGTATCGATGAACATTACTGTCCAAAATAAACGTCCCTTCGATCGCGACTTGCCACGACGAAGGGGGTGTGTGTTTTGGAAAGTAGTGTACTAGTAATTTCCAATAAGAATATTACAACCATCCCTGATATAAGCAGGGTGAAAGGTTCACAGGAACAGAACAATAAAAACACTAACAACCGATTTGTATAGTTAAGCAACTGCGCATTTCAAAAGAAATGCGCAAAAGAAAAGAAAAGAAAAGTCAAAAGATTTTGCAATACGCACAATACGAAACCGATATGATGATATTGAAGGTGGTTGTGGTATTGAGAAGACACTTAGTTGTGTCAAGAACTGTACATTTGTTCTGTACCTCGGCAACGTTACATTTCGACACATGTAAGTCCATGCTAAACTCCCGAGAGTATCTGAATGACCGTTTTCTGGACACGCACTATTTAACATGAGGACATGTACATTTGTAGTCATTAGGAAATACGTGTGTCTGTGTGTCACAGTATTTCAACTGTTTCATTGCAGCTTCTTGTACGAGTTCGTGAGCCCAAATTACGATGGTCTGTCACTACTGTTTGGCCTACTCAGGAAGCTCCAGAACTCGTCACCTGGCAACCAGAAGTCCGCCTCCGTTTCAAGCAAACACTCGAGTGTCGAAGAATACAAGAGAATGGTGGTCGGTGATCTTCTGTTATCATTGTGCATTCTCTCCCCTTTTTCAGTATTCGCCACATCGTGGTCCTTGTGCATTATCTCCCCTTGATCAGTAGTTAGCAGTGTAGTTCTACTCGCTCTTTTATATTCCTCAAAACACATGTCAATGGTTGTATATTCTCTTTTGGGAAAAGAAAAGGACCGATTAAAATATACAGCTATGTAATCTCGTAGAAAGCTCCAATTGCTCGTTGTCAGAGCAAAGGCGGATATTTATTTAGTATTTCTTTACATGGCTTGCAAAATATATCATCAATATCTTTTCACAACATGTCTCTACAATCGTATCAATGCTTCTTCACTTGTTGTTGGAACATATGTAAACAAACAAAGCATATTGAATAGTGTTGATTGTTTTCGACAGACTGATGAACATGACTGTTTGCTGTGTATCAAGTTTACGTTGAGACTAAAGGTAGGTATCATTCTTAAGAAACCTTTTCAAAAATCGTTAATGAAAAGTAGTAGGCATCATGGCATGAGAGCTTGATGTTGAGGAAATCCCGAAGTGTTGTAGATATGAGACGTTTGCCCACGAGCGCGGGTATGGTGCTGACAAACCTAGAAAAATATCTACGCAATCTGGGATAACGACTGTGCACATCAAGAGCCCCTCGCGAAAGTCGAAACAATGGGGAAATTTTGCAAACAAATACCCAAAATATATAAACTAGTGAAAATTACAGACAATAATTTCTGTATTTTCTTTCTCATATGGGTAAAAACACAATCAACACTAGAAATTAACCTAATTGCATCCAGATTGTGAATGTGACAGAACACCACGCCATGCTAATTATGGCGGTGATTGTGACCTGTCGTTGTTCCAGCATGCCCAGGACCAGCTACTGGAGAACTTCACCAACCTGGAGACGCTGGTGTGGAGTCTACTGAGCAGCAACACCAAGTCGAGGATCACATCTCTCGAGGTCAGTACCTTTGTCTTGTATGTAGGTCAAGATAGTGGCAGGGGTAAAGTAGGTCTGGGCGAGGTGTGTCCCTTTGTATTGTGGCCAAAAGCTGGTTTAAAAAATGGAGAAAACACAAAATGATATCTGACACATACCATATACAGTTTGAAGGACCACATTATCACATTTGTCCAAGGGGCATTGATAGCCCAATGGTTTTTATAATGCTTGCTTGTCCCGCCCGTGACTGGACCAATGTTCGTTTTAGCACATAGTATAATGTGAGAAGTTATGTCCCTTTGATATTGCTGGAATGGCCCTTGAAAGTTATCCGTTGGGATTCCTGGTATGAATATAGGTCCCCAGCAACCTAGCTTGTCGTCAGATGCGTGTAAATGGATCAGGGGGTCAGGCTCTGTTACATGATCCCTTGCTCATGATGTCAATCACTAGATTGTCTGGTCTAGACTGATTGTTTACAGACCGCCGTCATATAGCTGGAATATTGCTGAGTGAGGCATTAAACAACATAAAAACTTAAGAATGACAAAACCATACTTACTCGCTCTTGCCAATCAAATATTCATTGTCACTGATCATAAAGTGACAGGAACCATTTACCAGAGTTTGTGATCTCATCAACATGGTGTCGTTCCAGGTTCTCACCCTGGGTTTGGCTGTACCAGGAGGATTCGACAAGGTGTTTGACACGTTCACCTACATGCGGCTCAAGCTGGGGGAGTCGGTCAGGTTCAAGCTGCTTATCAGTATGCTCAACAACCGGGGGTCGGGACACGTGCTCTTCCAGGTAAGTGAGGCTCACTACGGTTGGGATATAATGGTAAATATACTGTATGTATCCAATCATGACACCAGGTTTTCGTGAAAAGAACGAATGTGTCCTATCACAATTCATCAAAGGTCACTCTAAGGTAATGCATACATACATACATACATACATACATACATACATACATACATACATACATACATACATACATACATACATACATACATACATACATACATACATACATACATACATATATTCAAAAGAAAATTATTTCGCTTAACTTTTGCAAAATAGTGTTTCAGCAAATGAGACAAAACCAAAAAGAGACAAGTCCATTGTACGATTCTAACTGTATCATAAGCAAGAGTTTATAAATCACTATCAAATAGTGATGGTGCCAGGTGTTCGCGAAAAGGCGAAAGCATTTTTAACGCATGTGTATGCAGCTAATTTGGAAAAGGGTTTAAATTGATTCTTCTTTTGTGTAGCAAATGTGTTAACAGTGTGCGAGCTTAGCCTCAATTTTGTAATTGATATCTTTTCCCGTAAAAACCAAGCCTCGTTCTCAAGTGCGACCTACAAACAGTAAATACAATTTGCTAGCAGATGACATATTCACTCTATAGTCTCTGTCAACTGGAGTTTTTAAACAGTACTTTTATTAGCTTTCCATGTTACAACATATATTCACTGGATATTAATGCTTTTTACCTGGATAATAAGGTTTATTCATTTCATGATGAGGATCACCTTTTTTAAAATTGTCCCAAATGTATGCATACCTGACAAGGACGACATGGGCTACCATTATGATACGATGTCTTACATTTTTCTCAGGAGGAATACCATTATTTTTTCTTGTTGACTTGTTGGATGGCATAAATGCACATACATTCACAAGATGCAAAATTCTACAAGCGCTTAAAATTCTATATAATATTAATGCATACACAAGCCTTATTGGTACAAATGTACTCTTGATATTTTCCACTTGAAAATTCATTAGTTTTAGAGGTGCCAGAATTCCAATATGTTCATACCTTTCTTGACAAATCTCCAGTGGTGTCACTTGGAAGTTGCATCATGATAAAAATAGTTAATAAGAGATTGGTATTTCAAGTGAGTTCCATGAAAATAACAGTTGAAACACATGATTTAGCCATGACTGAGCATAAAAATGCAATAGCCAAGGTATAATCCAAAAGTAATCGTCCACCACAACAGTAAAAGTAGTATACTGCTACAGCAGACGATAGGTTTGAGCCAATCATTTTACTGATAGAGGTCACGTGACTAAAATCTTGACTACTTCCGGTGCTGCGAAGGGTTACTTTCCCTAATTAAAACTAACAAACCAATACATATTTGAGATTTAAGTTCTGATTTATTTAAGCGCAAATGTCTGTTCAGTGTGATAACACTGACAAACTATGTCCAGACAGCTTAAGACAGAAAGAACCAAATGTCAAACACCACAACCTGTAAACCATCAGTTTAGACCCCTGACACACAAATTAGTCCCTCAATGACATATCAGTCAACTCAAATTTAAACAAACGGTGTTAAACTGCCCAAAAGTAACATATCTGTCACTAGAATGTGATGCTATCAGTAATGTGCCAGATTTATTTATGTTTCTGGCCGCTCTGTGTGGGACGTTTTGGTCACTTCGAGGGGGAAACTGGGGACTGTCTTTTATCCAATTAAAAACATGTCTACAGTTGTAGCTCCTCCTATTTTAAGTTGGATATAGTAAGCTTAGTGATCAGTGATTACAGGGAACATAGGAATTGGCCCCTCCTCCCTTTAAGATAGATGGAACCCATATTTTTGTGAATGATTTCTACCCTGTGAGAGAATATTTTGAGGTCACGTGACTTCAATAAACATGTTCTCACAGCCTCTACAGTGCATGGATGGGTTATATTTAGGTATTATTTTGATAAATTGACATATGTGGAAATGGGAAATATATGAAAACATTACATGTACATATAGGATTTGTAATTAAAGGTTTATATGAGGTAGGTGTAAAGCCCAGGATTTTTCACTTCCTGTGACAGGGGCTGTGACGTCACTATGGGGTCTTTAGCATTGAATCTATTTATAACCTGTGTGAAAGCGAGGCTTGGTTTTCACCTATAAGCGGTAACATGGGCTGAGCTCGCACACTGTAAGGTGATGCCAGGAAACGTTCATGGCTGTTTCTTCCACCAGGTGGCCTGCATGAGGTTCCTGAACGCCCTTCTCAATTGCCCCAGCTCGGGCAGTCTGAGGGTCTATCTCCAGGAAGAGCTGAGAATGGCTGGTTTTGAACTTGCACCGTTGGTAGAGGTACGCTACATACGATACACTATAGTAGATAGCTGGAGATCCTCGTGAGCGGTGGTTTCGGTGACATGCTTGCTACCTCATCAACAGGTGCGTGTGGGGTGTAGATGTTTGTGTGTGGACCGTGTGTCAGGATCAATCATGACAGGCAGCGACAACCGAATTTCTCATGCATGTGAGTGGTAGAGTAGAACAGACATGTAGGGCCTCTCCGATGTGTGGTTAAATATACAGTAAACTATGTTTATAGTGAACTGACGGATATAACGAACTTTGTTTTGTCCCGACTATTTACTGCATATATGCTGTATACATGCTTATAACGGACTACGGTTATAACGAACTAAAATTAGTGGTCCCTGTGAGTTCGTTAAAACCGTAGTTTACTGTCTGTACTTCCAGCGGCAGCCAGTTCATCATTCAATCGACGCATTTTAAGGTCAAATTATCAGGAAGCGATACCAGTAAGACATCTACGAGCGTTTACTTTTAAGATCGGTGATAGTTAGCTCACGTTTTCTCTTCAAACCAGAACTGTAACGGAGATGGATTGGAGTTTGACGATCTACGGAAGGAGCTGGAAGACTGGCAGGCCAGATACATAAACGTGAGTAGAGTTAGAGTAATGGCAACTAGGGGTGAACGTACTGACACGACTACGATTCAATATACACAAAGTCACCAGGCTGTTATGATTCCAGAAATACACTGCTGGGCAAAAGAATGTATAAAAACCACAACAAGAAAAAGTTCTTCAATGGGGATATATTTGATATGAGTATCAGAGTTGGGTTAGGAACCTTAGGTTTGCAGTGTTTTGGCGACTGTTGTGAGCCTGGTAATAACGTTTCGATAACATTTGTAACTTTTTGGTTAAATCCAATTTTCGTAATAAACGTTCTTTTGTCCGACAGTTTATAACCTTGAATAACATCAAGACACTTGAACAGCGATAGAAACTAGCTGTTTTCGTCAACTAGTCATTATAATAATAACACATAGCAAAATCCCAAATAATGGCAACTTTCTACTTGTCCTTATGATACCTTAACTGTTGGGTAGTTTGAGAGGGTTATAGGACTAGTGCCAATTTCTAACGCTGTTACATAGAATGTCTCTCTTCATCACGCATAGTAAAGAATTATTTTCCTTTTAATTAAAATGTAAATTGTTTCTTATTTTTGGTAGTCAACGTAAATAACAACAACTTGCAGCACCATATAACTGAGCTGTAATGTCCAATGCTCCACAAAACGATTGAGTCTCCATGATGAATAACTGGTTTTCATGTTGTGTTTAGGTGGATACTCTCCTGAGGAAACATCGGGTAAGAGCCTAAGCTACCTGTATACCTCTGTTTGTAAAGGTAATCTTCTTAACAGTCATTATTCATCGGTTTATGTCCCCCGAGTGTCGGGGATTCTTAATGTCGGCGGTATTGTCCCGAGAGACAGCCAGGACGTCTTTAGCTGTACTTTGTCTTAACGCCTCCAGATTGACCGACCGGTCATTGCGGCCTGCTACAGTTTGGTAGCAATGTTTACTACAGACCAAAACCACAACAGTGCCCACATGCACAAATCGATTTTAGGGCTACGACTATAGTAAGCCTAGATTAGAGTATGGGAGTTCATCATATCAGTATTGGGAGTATCATAAAACACATAGACACTGTTATAGACCGTCAAAAATTGAAAACTGACAAAGATGATCAATATTTGTATTCGAATAAAGGACATTGGACAGTGTCCATGTTTCAGAGACAAGAAAAGCGAACTTGAGTCCATTGGGTATTTCAACTTTTAAAAAAAGCTTTGTTTTACTAACAGTAAAGATGCATTCATAAGCATGGCTATTCCATTCTTGTAGAATATCGATGTTGATCGACTTTATCGTAATTGATGAAAGTGATGAAAATCCCGACCGTGTGGTTGATTGACTGGAGAAATCGGCAGCTACCATTAGAACTGGTTTATTAAAATTGAATTAATCACTGTGTCAGTACAGGAACTACAACTACTGTCACTTATACTATCACCGCTCTACAGGTAGTAATCATGGCCTATAAGGCAGTACACAATTGTACTCTTACTGTTCTTTCTCTTTCCCAGTTTGACTTCCGGGCTTCACGTGACAGGAGATACGACCGAGCCGATGGTCAGGTCAACTATGCTGTAGTGCATGGTCAACCGCAGGTCAATCCGCGGAAGGATACAAGAACAGATCATCTTGCAAGTAAGAAATCGATGACGCTCTCGGCCCAGTTGTATGAAACCTTCAATAACTAATTGCTACATTAAACCCTTAAACTACAGGAAACAATCATGAATTGTTTACGCCTAATTGGATCCTCAGCGTTCAAACAATGTTTAAATTAAATGTTTGATGGAATCGCCGACGGCTCATAACATCACAACATTATTAAATGTTTGATGGAATCGCCGACGGCTCATAACATCACAACATTATTAAATGTTTGATGGACTCGTTCACGGCTAATAACATCACAACATTATTAAATGTTTGATGGAATCGCCGACCGCTCATAACATCACAATATTATTAAATGTTTGATGGACTCGTTGACGGCTAATAACATCACAACATTATTAAATGTTTGATGGAATCGCCGACGGCTCATAACATCACAACATTATTAAATGTTTGATGGACTCGTTCACGGCTAATAACATCACAACATTATTAAATGTTTGATCGAATCGCCGGCCGCCCATAACATCACAACATTATTAAATGTTTGATGGACTCGTTGACGGCTCATAACATCACAACGTCATTAAATCTTTGACGGAATCGTTGACGGCTAATACCATCACAAGGTTATTAAAACATTTATACAACCATATTCATAAACACGTTAGTTATGGAGGTTAAATAACACATCAATGGATCACTAACGTTTGTTACATATGGGATTTCGGTAACCTACTGTCCAATCATGTCGACCATTTCTTCTGAGATTGCACCAGTGTGTACCTCTTGCAAATCGTTCGTAGAATGATTATATCTCACTCTGTGATCTTTCAGTGATACTTTTGATGTTTTCAGGCAAATCAGTTCCAAATTTGAGTCAGGTGAATGGACTGCTACGTGATGACGTCACAATCACATACACCGTGAACGGGGTCGCACAAGAGGTAGGCGGAACATTCAACACGCCACTCACCAATATACCAGATATATTACGACTATTTGCAAACATATTGAGTCAAGCAAACCACTGAATGGCACCGTGTCCAACAATCTACGCATTTGGGATATGATGACATGCATCAACTAAGTCAGCGAGCCTGACTACCCGATCCCTTTGGTCGCCTCTCACAACAAGCATGGGTTGCTGAAGACCTAATGTAACCCTATCTTCATGGCTTCCTTCATAAACTTATATGTTCATCTTAACCCGACATACACGTGCATGCACGTCGCTATATAAGTGCAATAATCTTGGACGCGACGTTAAACCCCATTTCACCTCACCACCTCACCTCTTAACCCGAATTGTTCATTACATTCTTAATGTTTCAACGTTCAATGGTGGCATTGGAGTGAGTTGAATAAAGCCGTCATTAAACTACAATTAACTTATGATACATTACGTGTAAGATTTCAATTAACGTGTTGTTAAACTAGCACATTCACCGCGATAGAGAGCGATATCGGTATTGGGAGAAAAGGTACAGATAATGGACGTGAGGTTGGGAGAATATGTGGGAAGTACCCACCTGTGCATAAAATGGACTTGTCCGACACTGCCGAGGTCGGATTCTATTGAGTGAATCATCATTATTTAAATACGGGTAAATAGTTTTAAAGTGTGTACATTTCATCATCATCTTTAAAGAAGCTGTACAAATTGTACACATCTTATATAAGAAATAAACGACGAGTGGGAGTTGTTTGTCGTACAATAAAACACTGCAGGGGGAATAAACAATGAGGGACTTGGATAAACAACTCCCACTCGTCGTTTATTTCTTAATTAAGTTGCGTCACTTTCTGTTGTCGAACCAAATGGTTCTGCTAACATGACACCATCTCGTGCATGGCCACAGGTTGAGCACTGGGCTGAAGAACGGTACAACTTGAGCCAGATCGGCCACAGGCTGACCAGCATGGCACAGCAGAGAGGCGAAGAGGCTAAGATATACCAAGGTAGTCAATATCAGATTTTAATTGGCAGAACCACAAACCTGCTTTTGTAAATTTAAATTACAACCTTTATTACCTACTCTACAAGTTTTCAGATTACAGGTCGTCATTTTGTAAAATGGTAGATCCGCCCACAACGTTCACTGTTCAAACGGTACAGACTAAAGTTTACTCTCAGAGGTTAAATGACTCGTCATTAGATGAGTGCATCTGTTCCAAAAAACAGAACTATGCCACAGAAAATTTTACGTTTGTATTAATTTGTTTTGTTTTGTTTTTCGATTTAGACGTCCCCAACATGAGTTATACATTCCCCGACATCCGACATTACATCATGACGTATGACATCACGTGCCTGACTGGTGATGCCCCGGATGTGTTGCTCAGGCTGCTGAATATAAATAATCACGTGAGTAGTTCTGACATATGTACAACATATAACTTTACCGATTTTATTGCTGTGAGTGAGTGAGTGAGTGAGTTTGGTTTTACGCCGCTTTTAGCAATATTCCAGCAATATCACGGCTGGGGTCACCAGAAATGGGCTTCACACATTGTACCCATGTCGGGAATCGAACCCGGGTCTTCGGCGTGATGAGCGAACGCTTTAACCACTAGGCTACCCGACCGCCCTTTATTGCTGTAGTTGATGGGGCTATTTCCCTTTGTAATTAAGCGACCTCTAACCCATTTCGCTTTGTGAGAAAAGACAGTCCATTTGAAATAATTATCCAAATGGGTGACAAAGTAATAATCCCACTGATTGTAGTTAGTAAGTAAATGAATAAATACCGTTTACGCCGCAATCAGCAATATCTCAGCTATATCAAGGCGGTGTCTGTGTCGGACATACCAGTGGTTGACAGCATGAACAACGGTCAAATAGCCAGGTCACACATTATAACCACAGGATCCTCACTTTAAGTCGTCTCTTACGACATGTATGGGGCACTGGGTAAATATTCTTTCCCGGTATTACCGCAATGTCTGCATATTGAATTATTCAATTATTCTTAAAACCATCTAAAAATGCAAAATTCTTTGTGAATAGACTACAAGTGTTAAAGCGAAGGGTCATGTAACTCTTTCTAAGCAGGACACAGACATATCGACGACAAACAGCCACAACCCCCATCACATTGGAGGCTTCTTGAACCTGTCTAAGAAGGTGAGTGATGATTCTCCCGTAACTGACGCAGGTCCTACCATCGCTGGGGTGAACAAATCTTCACAAATACTCTTCTTTTCTTTTAAAATGACGCATGCAGATAATGTGTCCACAATGAACGGAATGCTTTGAGGTGATGTGTTTCCTAAACCTTCGTTATAACAAGAATGAGGTAGGGGTATTTGGATTTAGGGCAGTGATGACACATAGCATTAGGACATTTCCATGATTTTATCGACTTTTTATAGTACATTCATCTATTAATTGTGATGAAATTGAAAAGAAATATTCGGTATTTTTTATTTTATAATCAGTCAATGTCCTGGAACATGAACATATCTGATTCCCAGTAGGGGAAACTTAGACATGTGTCCCCTAACGGGGTATGGTGGAGATGGTATTGACTTGCATCCCTTTCTCTCAACCAGTTGCAGAGCATTAGCGAGTGTGAGGACCGACTGAAGCTGATCGGATTCATGAACCATTACAACACCCGACTCAAGGAGCTGAGAACAGTACGCCATTGACAACACTCATACCACTCAATGTGTGATAGGGATACTCGTGATAGTCCAGACTCAGGGCGAGTCGCTCATGGCAACGAGTGGTACTTGAGAGGGTTATTTCCATGGCCATGTCGAATGATATGGGCAATGAAGACTGTTGACGTATGGATTCTAAATCAATCTCCATTGATACTCCAGCTTCTAAAATATATGCCTAAGATATAGCTATGGGTTAGACATCTCCAATCAGTACCATCCCGTTCCCTATCAAATGTTGAGTGGTATATTACTGCAGTAGAAACATAGAATTACTACAGTGTTTGCAACTGACTTGTGCCGTGATTGTTTACACTATAAACTATTCACATTTTCCTGGTACTGAAAATGTTCCCTTTGATAAGTGGCGATATATTTTTTCAGACATTTAAGAGTACCATTTCCTATATAATTTGAATAGATCAGTTGTTCTAATCATCAGTAATCTGGTTTGTCTGAGCAGCTTACCAGCAATGTTAATGTCATGGTGTAAAATGAAGGTTAAACATGAATATGACATATGTATATTGTTTCTTAAAGCCCCGCAATGTCACGTGATGGTGTGAATACTTGTTATATCCGGTTGTTGTATAAAACAGGTTATTTGAAGCGTCTTGTTAAATGGGTTATCTCGTATTTATGGTGTGAAAAATATTTTGCTGTTTCAGAAAATCAGCCAGGTTAACCGAGCAACCGAAAGTATGCTGCGAAATCCGAAAATGAAACAGTTATTTGAGGTATTGCATTTCACACTCACAAATAAACACAACCCATTCTGGTGTCAGTTGGAGACGTTTAACATTTTCAGAATAATTGAAACTGTGCTCACTTTGCACAAGCACCAGCATATCACTAACAACACCACAGAACTTCTAATCACATTGTTGTGACACGTTCAATGTAATCACGTTTCCGACTCACTTCACGGTGCATTTCATCTTTATATACATACTGAACCTCAATTGTAAGTTATCCCGTGAACATCCGGGTTAGAAATGATCTTCAGCAACCCATGGTTGTCGTAAGAGGCGACTAACGGGATCGGGTGATCCGACTTGCTGACTTGGTTGATGCATGTCATCGTACCCCAATTACATAGATCGATGCTCATGATGTCAACCATTGGAATGCCTGGTCCAGACTCGATCATTTGCAAACCGCCGTCATATAGCTGGAATATTGTTGAGTACTGCGCTAAACAACAAACAAACAAATTAAATGTAAGCGAATACTTCTAGGCAGTGCTGATCAGTATTCCGGCAGTACCAAGGCGGAGGGACAATGATAATGGACATTGTACGCACATTGGGCATCGAACCCGCTCATCGTGTGTTGACGGGCTGCTATAACCATTAGGCTACCATCCAGCCGTACATGAGATTGATTGGCGAAATATTATTTCAGATAGGTTCTTTTTCGAAAGGAAAACGAAAATATACACCCATGTTTGATTGTGGCTAAAATGAAACAAACAAGAAATGGTTATTCAATGATGGTATTTGATACGGGTATAATTGTTGTGTTTGTTTGTAATGTTTGGGTTAGATCTAATTTTCAATTGTATACAGTAAACTACGCTTATAAAGAACACGCTTATAAAAAACTGACATGTAACGAACTGGTCTTTTGGCTCAGGCCATTTGCTGTTTACATGCTTTGTGTATGCTTATGACGAACTACGATTATAACGCACTAAATTAGTGGTCCCTTTGAGTTCGTTATAACCGCAATTTACTGTACTTTCTTTTGCTCGGGGGTACATTTTGTGTCGTCGTTATGACTTAATCTTCATTCTTTGTCTTCATTCTTCATCTTCATTTCCTTTAGTTGCTATATGGCTGACATAATGCCGATGCAACGTTCAATTTTAACTCACTCACTCACTCACTCATTTCCTATATTTCACCAGCGTGTTCAAGGAATGAAACCGTTATAGTGCACCTGCTTGCTTTGTTCAGATTATTCTAGAATTTGGCACTCGCATGAACGGATTGAACAGGGAGTCCGAGAGGGGTTTCAAAATATCATCCTTGGAATCGGTGAGTGTGGAGGATAGGGTTCTCTGAATTAACTGAGGTTAAACGGCGAGGTGGGGCTCTGACAACTTTCTCATTTGGGGAAAATGTTGTTTGTTTTTTTGAATATCAAAAGTCATTAAACAGGGATCATATCAATCGCACTCAGCACTGTGTATTTAAATAACATCAAGTGTGAGGTGTGACTTAATGTGTTGATATTATAGCTTCCATGTTTTAAGAGATAATGTATACTACATTTTGTTAACGTTGACAAGTCAATGCCCCAAGTTCATACTCTTCGGCTATGTAGGTAACTGCAGTTTAGAGAAAGTGCATCTTTGACCACGTTATTTAGTCTCAGATTGTTTGAAACTCGGGAATTTTCCGGCATTGAAACATCAATTCTGTTCTTCTTGAGGATCAAAAATAAGAAATAATTTCATAAAATGTGCTTCAGGCACTTCATTAAATTTGTAACAGTATTAAACGTTTTCGCCAACTTAATTGTGCCAGAAAAGGTCCTTATCTCTTACAGTTTCCAAATCTGGAGTATAAACGCTACGTATATACTACTCCACTTTAGATAGGGATAATTTTATCGTTCCATGATATGCAAAACTTATTCAATTGTCATCTGTACTCACAGATAAGAAGTAAATATTTGTCAGCATATGAACCAATCAACATTTTTGTTGGTCAGGACATGGTAAGCATGTTAAACTCTTATCATGATGAGATGATCTTTGATATGGGGATTACTACACATATTGATGTATATTGAATGTTACAGGTGGTTATTGTAATACTTAAGCAGTCACACCTTACATATTCTGTAAATTTGTGAGTCACATGACTTTATCTGTACTATGGGTCTTATGTTATGTTAGATTGCTGAAATTGATGTGAAGGTATCCGTTCAAGGGTCAAAGGATCTTGTCTGTTTCAGCTTTCTCGGAGTCACGTGAGCTCTAATGACAACACGCAGACAGTATTAGACTACCTGGTAACGGAAGTAAGCGCCCATTACCCAGAAGTCCGAGACTGGTACCACGAACTGGACGCCGACCTACCTTCCACAGGTGAGTCACGTGGTGGACGCTGAACGATGAACGCTATTATTCATACTGTTAAACGTTTATATCAGTAGTTAGAAAGGGCATACAAACTATTGAGGGTGTTTAATGAAAGGTGGTGAGTCCTAAGTATTGGGACCTCAAAGCTCTGCTGGTGTTTCAGTGTCGATACGAGTGATGGAGAAACAGCTAGACTACCTCAAGAATGGCGTCAAGATTCTCAACATGGAGGCTCTGCAGTACCCGGATGTTGACACACTCAAAATATCCTTTGTACGGAATTTGGTTGAGAAATGCGGTTGCTTTGGTTGTGCTTGTTACAATCATACGTCCTGTCAACACGACTGTGACAACCCTATCTAATTATCCGTGGGAATCTGGTGTTGTAACCCATACTCATGCTTTAAATGAACCCCAAAAGCCCATGAGTCCGAAAAGTGAGAACAATAACAAAACAAAACAATAACTTGCAAAACTACCAGCCATCATAAGGATATGCAGATTGGCTCTAGCTAAGCAGCTGCGCTATAGAACATCTCTCCTTTAACGGAAGGGGTACCGGGAGCCCAGTCGTCCAAGATGCTGCAATTTGTAGAGTTGCGTCCCTTGGACACGCCAGAAACCTGTGATCGTGGGTTCGAATCTCGGTTCGCCCCGATTATGTTTCTAGTTTTGTCAGCACCATACCCGCTCTCGTGGGTTTTTACCTATATGGTAAACGTCTGAGACCTGTATCACTTCGGGTTTTCCTCCCACATTAAACTGACACCCCGTGATATAACTGAAATACTGTTCAGGGCGGCGTTGAACCAAACTCACTCACTCAAACAGATTCACCACAAACTAAAAATGTTGGAACCTTAATTTCAGCCCATTTTACAATCACTCGGAGGTTGCATTAGTTGATAAAAATGTTAATTAGGTAACATGTTCTTTTCTACTGATGATCAGCCATCTAGAACATGCGGAAATATGATAGCTTCCTGCCGCTGGCTGATCAGTACAGTAAATCTATACAATATCATATATACTCACCGCCAAAAGAAAGGCGAACCATAGAAACTAATAGAGGTGAGGTGAGGTGAAATTGGGTTTAACGTCGCGTCCAAGATTATTGCACTTATATAGCGACGTGCATGCACGTGTATGTGTGTGTGTGGCTGCTTGTACTAGTCCGGACTGATGCCGATTTATAGTGCTAGCTCACTGAGATACCATGCCGCAGTTTAACATGAATACCCCACTCAGACACAGTATACTGACTCCGAGCCGACCAGTCCTTGTTTTAGCCCCTTATGCCGAGCGCCAGACAGGGTAACAACAAGTACAATCTTTTAACGTCTTTTTGTATGACGCGGCCCGGGATCGAACCCTGGACCTTCCGCTCTCCGGGCGGACGCTCTACCACAAGACCACGGAGGCGGTGCTAGAAACTAATAGAGAAGTATGTACGTTGAAAAGAGATGTTTCCGATGTGTACCATTTAATGACAAAAGTAACAATCAGTCAAGTGTTACCGTAGAGTTACTTTTTACTCATCACGATATTCTACACATGGTTTCCAAAATTAGGCGCTAGTCCTGCACAAGACAAATGGTACATCTCGAGTCATGGATCTATGACGTCACAGGCGATGCCTTCATGAGCATCGGTTCACACAACATACCAGTATGTTCATTTGTGCATCGAACCAATCTCATATCTCTTCGAAATTAGTAAGTCTTCATATATTAACCATCTTGAATAGTATTGTTCATCTATCTATTTTATTTGGCAAACTTGAGAAGGGTGTATAATATTCTGTGCTAAATGTACCAACCGAATTTGACCCGTGAAGATTCCGGGGTAGAATTATAGGTCTACAGCAACCCATACTTGCCGTAAAAGGCGACTATGCTCGTCGTAAAAGGCGACTAACGGGATATTAATTACTGGATTGTCTGGTTCAGACTCGATTATTAACAGACTGCCATCATATAGCTGGAATATTGCTGAGTGCGGCGTTGAACAACAAACCAACCAAACCAACCAATCGAATTTCCTTTAATCACATGCTTACCGCAAACAAGGTATATACATTCGTTGTCTTAGAGCGTGAAATGAAAATTTCGGTACACATTTGTCCTTAACGTTGTCCACAATTTTTTGGCGGCGGCGCCAGATGCGCATGTGCAGGTGGGGGAGGACTTCGCCAAGATGATGTCGCAGTATAAAGAAGTGTGCACGATGTTGGGGGAGACGGATGAAATGGAGCCACGCGACGTGTTCGACATGGTGACCAGATTCGCTGCCGACTACAGAGTAAGCGTTGCTTGGCAGCCTCCAAGAATGTCTTGGTTCTTATTTGAGACGACGGAGTCTGTTGCAAACCTAATTGTAAACGTGCATGACATTATCAATATACAACAGAAAGATCACTTACAACAATCTCCGTGCCCCCTAAACTTGCAAGATGTCTGTGAAAATGAGAAATATTGATATGAAAATTGTGAAAGTGGGCATATAACTGAATGTATTTCTTTTCTGTTCGACGCTTTCTTGGATTTGTGACAACATTTAGATAAGAAATAGCATTAACGTGTGAAAAGGCCATATTTTCATACCTCTAGAGAAATTTTATGAAAATTAAAAAAACATACATTAATAAGACTGAGCACATTCTGGAGTTCAACATTGAATTGGGGGTGTATATTATTACATCTTTAAGACAGCATGGCACGGGTGGCCCAGTCGTCACCAAAGTTTTAAACGTCAGAGGCCTGCATCACTAAGTCTTTGGGTGTTCCTCCCATATTAAGCTGACACGCCGTGAGAATACTGTTCAAATCGGCGTTAAACCCAACTCACTGTCGAGGGGAAATCAGAAACACAATACAGGGCACAACCTGAACATCTAACATTGGATTTGGTGTTGTAATTGACAGTATATGTACATTTTATCTGTCGCTTCTTTAATACACACAATCGTGTTCTATAAAAGGAAACGTGTTGTTTAGGTTGGGTGCAAACAAATAGGATTTCAATGGATCGTTATTCGAAGCATAAAATGTCAACCATGTTACATACGTTTAAATAAACAAATCGCAAGGAGTTCTGGTTGCGACAGTGCGATTTACTCTTGTATATGTGTATGTTCCAGCTAACTGTGGAGAAGATGGAAAGACTTAACAGAGCTAGTACACCACGTCGTCCTGTTTCGGGGGGTAGCGTTCCGAGGTCCCAGAAGGGGGGCGCCAGTGACTTTGACGAAGTGAGATCAGACAGCACCCTAACGAAGAAGATCGATGCTCAGATCGCAAGCGTCTCCAAACGCCGCGGGAGCAGCCTTAACTGCTTCCACGACACCTCCACCGACAACGTCCCCCCAGCCATCGCCAGACGGAAGAGGCTGTCCAAGAATAAGAGTGTGCCTCAGAAGAGTAGTCCTTCCAAAGGATGGTTCAGTTTCGGCAGGAAGTCCAAATCTCTGTCGCAACCCGACCTACACAGGGAACCATTGAGCTCTTCGACATTTGAGCAAAAACTTCATAAAGATGGCTCCTCGAGCAAGACGAGTCTCGACGGCAACTGGGTGCTTTCTCCCCGCCCAGCTCTGCCGAAAGATTTCAGGGGTCAAACAGCCTGGAAGTCTGAGCCCGAACTGACCCATTCTCCAGGGCACTATCTGCCAGATTTCGTCAAGACGAAGGCGCCCCGGGAATCTAACGGGGTCATTCCCCAAACATTCATGTTCCCCAACAAAATTCCAACGGTGTCCAATCTTTCCAAAGAGCTGGAGGACACTAAAGAAGGCAAAGGGTCTCCTAACCAGGACTATTCCGAGACTCCGACTCCAGTCGGAACTATGAGAAGTTACACTGCGGAGCTGGCCGAAATTCTTGATGACTTTGAACAGACTCTGTACGCTCACGACGAGGATACACCTAGGTATATGGACGGAGACACAAGCAACACCATGGGGCCGATCGTATTCGTATGATACGTGTTAACACGCACTTTAAGTGTGTACGTGTTGTTGGTTTAAAAAGTGTTATTGTGCATCAGTAGTGAGTATGGTTTTACGCCTCTTTTAACAATATAACAGCGGGGGATAGCAGAGATGGGCTTCACACATTGCACCCATGTGGGCAATCGAACCCGGGCCTTCGGCGTGACGAACGAACGCATTAACCACTTGGCTACCCAACCGCCTCATGGATTTCAGTAAAAGACATTGCATTCCTGCTTATTGAACGTATGTTCTGGAAACTAAGGAAACGTTTGGATAGATTCCTATCGGTAGTTCCGGTCGTGTGGACTAAGGTGCAGGATCCATTTTACAACAAGTGGTCAGGGAATTCAACATGGGGGTATTTTACGCCAATACGCAGCTATTCTATAGCCCTGAATTGGTTGGTTGATTCTCATACTCCGTTGCTCACAAGATCAGTCACTGGTTTATCTAGCCCAGACTCGATTAATTATAGGAAGCCGACATATAGCTGGAATATTGCTTACAAGGTCGTAAAATAACAAACATACATATTACGGTTGTCCAAGTCCATTTATCATACGAATATCGTAAGGAATCATGGAACACGGCTATTCTTCGTCACTGGTGAATGCGGCTTCGACGACGGAAACGCCATTTTGACACCAACATTGTGTTTGTAAATTAAGATTGTATATATTGTATAGCGCTCATCTAAGATATAGTACAAAGTAGCTGCGATAGTTAGTGAACAAGACCATGTTCCACATGGCATAGGAAGACGTATACACAGTGCAATATATTTTCAAATATGCAATATGAGACAATATTATACTGCAGTGTACTTTGCATTCATTTCTACATATATTTTATATCATAAGCATGTTGGTCTCCCAGTTTGATATAAAGCCGGGCTGTTAAGCAGAAAAGCAGTAATACATTTTGAAACCAACCCTTGCAGTATGGAGATTTGTCCATCCACCACAAATGTTCAGAGAGGTGTCGTTCCCTCCTATTATCCTCGCTTTAGCGTGCTTCGTGAGCTTCCGTGTAATATCGGTAGAGTGAGAACACGGCTACAAGGAATAGCGGTATAATGGGGTACAGGGTTTAATAAATAGTTAGCAGTACACGTGACTCGACGAGAATAGCCACGGCAATTGTGAGCAGAAAAGTGGCAGAAAATTGTTTGAAAAGGGAAAATTCTGGTGTATTAGTAGTATAACACTGCCATTAAAGCAAAGTTGAAGTTGAAGCAATGTTCCCGGCATTGTTACTGCATTTCATCAACATAGTTCCTGAATAAATACATTTGTAAACCCTTTATAACACGCTACGTTTTCTGTTCAGCAGGAAGTGAGGTGGGGCGTTATGTGGTTTAACGTCGCAGCTTTATCCCTATTCCGTAATGAACTTATCCATGCAATGCCATTTTCCATAGACAAGGATTATTTTTTTACTTATAATTTATTGCAGTCCGGATTTTATAGCACTAGACCACTGAGATACCATGCCGCAGTTTACCATGGATTCCCCGTTTATGTTTTATGCCCTAATGCCGAGCGCTAGGCAGGGTGACAACAAGTACCATATTTTAACGTTATGATGTATGACGCGGCCGGGGACTGAACCACCTACCTCCCGCTCTCCCGGCTCTCGAATAGACCACTGTTCAGCAGGATATCGGAAACATCATGCATGTCGGAACAGACAACAACAGATGAAACTGAATGAAAACTCAGATTGTTTATCAAACTGCCTGCAAGTTTGTTTATTTGTTTGTTGTTTAACGCCGCAGTCAGCAATATTCAAATAGTGGTTTTCTGGCCCAGACTAGACTATATATTTCAGGCCACAGTGACATACATTGTAGCTAGAATATTAATGACTGTGAAGAAAAACAGCACTGAGAAAAAAGTATAGTGAATTCTACTAACTTAATGAGTAACAGCGGCCAGAATGTTCGTGAACAGCGAATTTAATAACCTGCCTGGTAGATTGCACGAGGCAGCAGTGGAGAGAAGGTGTGTCCTATGTAGAGGGGAAAGTCCGAGTTACTCTCCATTCCCTTAAATAACTGAGCCGAGTCCCCAAATGACAAAGAAACGATTCTAAATTAAAGCTTACTAAAACTTACTACAAGCTTAGTAAATATGCTATTGCAGTAAGTTAATTATGAGAAGAAGATTCTTTGATTTGGTTTGTTTGTTTGATGTTTAACGCAGCACTCAGCAATATTCCAGCAACATGACGGCAGTCTAAATTATCGAGTCTGGACCAGACAATCCAGTGATTGATATCGTGCGCATCGATCTACGCATTTGGAATACGTTGACATGCATTAATGAAGTCAGCGGGCCTGACCCCCGATCCCGTTAGTCGCCTCTTACAACAAGCATAGTCGCTTCTTACAGCAAGCATGGGTTGCTGAAGACCTATTCTCTGCCCGGGTCTGCACGAATGAGAAAATTCTTTGAAATATGGGCAGTGATCTACTTACTAATTAGCAAATTGTGCTTGTCTACGACAGGCCACCAGTCTAATTAGCAAATATTTACTAACTGGTTAGTAAAATCAAGGTTAGTGTATGAGTGGACAGTGAAATTAACAGAGTAAGTTAGTAAACTTCACTAATTACATCATGCAGTGAGCATTCACGCCCTCCTTCAGTCAGTGCCCACCTGACTAATGACGTCACCGAGTCTGACCACGTGATCCACTGATGCATCAAGTCACTGAGACTCCCCACCTCATACATCAAGTCACCGAGTCTTGATCCATGAGGCCACCTAGTCTTGATCCATGAGGCCACCGAGTCTTGATCCATGAGGCCACCGAGTCTGGACCCATCAAGTCACCGAGTCTGGATCCATCAAGTCACCGAGTCTGGATCAATCAAGTCGACGAGTCTGGATCAATCAAGTCGACGAGTCTGGATCCATCAAGTCGACGAGTCTGGACCCATCAAGTTGACAAGTCTGGATCCATCAAGTCGACGAGTCTGGATCCATCAAGTTACAGAGTCTGGATCCATCAAGTAACAGAGTCTGGACCCATCAAGTAACAGAGTCTGGATCCATCAAGTAACAGAGTCTGGACCCATCAAGTAACAGAGTCTGGATCCATCAAGTAACAGAGTCTGGATCCATCAAGTCACCGAGTCTGGATCCATCTAGTCACCGTGTCTGGATCCATCAAGACACCGAGTCTGCATCCATCAAGACACCGAGTCTGGATCCATCAAGTAACAGAGTCCGGATCCATCAAGTAACAGAGTCTGGACCCATCAAGTCACCGAGTCTGGATCCATCAAGTCACCGAGTCTGGATCTATCAAGTAACAGAGTCTGGATCCATCAAGACACCGTGTCTGGATCCATCAAGTCACCGAGTCTGGATCCATCAAGTCACCGAGTCTGGATCCATCAGGTAACCGAGTCTGGATCCATCAAGACACCGAGTTCGCATCCATCAAGACACCGAGTCTGGATCCATCAAGTAACAGAGTCTGGATCCATCAAGTAACAGAGTCTGGACCCATCAAGTCACCGAGTCTGGATCCATCAAGTCACCGAGTCTGGATCTATCAAGTAACAGAGTCTGGATCCATCAAGACACCGTGTCTGGATCCATCAAGTCACCGAGTCTGGATCCATCAAGTCACCGAGTCTGGATCCATCAAGTCACCGAGTCTGGATCCATCAGGTAACCGAGTCTGGATCCATCAAGACACCGAGTCTGCATCCATCAAGTAACAGAGTCTGGATCCATCAAGTCACCGAGTCTGGATCCATCAGGTAACCGAGTCTGCATCCATCAAGACACCGAGTCTGGATCCATCAAGTAACAGAGTCTGGATCGATCAAGTAACAGAGTCTGGACCCATCAAGTCACCGAGTCTGGATCCATCAAGTCACCGAGTCTGGATCTATCAAGTAACAGAGTCTGGATCCATCAAGTCACCGAGTCTGGACCCATCAAGTCGACGAGTCTACTCGGCGCTGTTCCGGGTGGGATGGGGAGAGATTGTTCCATGAGATTTAAGCAATCCATGGACCCATCCTCAAAATATATACGTGGATCCATCAGGTCGACGAGTCTGGATCCATCAAGTCGACGAGTCTGGATCCATCAAGTCACCGAGTCTGGATCCATCAAGTCACCGAGTCTGGATATATGGTGGTGTGAAAGGTATATTATCCCTATTTGTTGTTTCCAAAACACCTGTGACGTGTTATCTTACTTACACTTATATTAAACACTGCAAAGTCCAATACACAACAGCTGCGAATACCTGACGAAAAGACCACGTGGGCGGCAGGTGCTCGGCGCTGTTCCGGGTGGGATGGGAGAGATTGTTCCATGAGATTTAAGCAATCCATGGACCCATCCTCAAAATATATACGTGGATCCATCAGGTCGACGAGTCTGGATCCATCAAGTCGACGAGTCTGGATCCATCAAGTCACCGAGTCTGGATCCATCAAGTCACCGAGTCTGGACCCATCACGTCACCGAGTCTGGATCCATCAAGTCACCGAGTCTGGATCCATCAAGACACCGAGTCTGGATCCATCAAGTCACCGAGTCTGGATCCATCAAGTCGACGAGTCTGGATCCATCAAGTCACCGAGTCTGGATCCATCAAGTCGACGAGTCTGGATCCATCAAGTCGACGAGTCTGGATCCATCAGGTAACCGAGTCTGGATCCATCAAGACACCGAGTTCGCATCCATCAAGACACCGAGTCTGGATCCATCAAGTAACAGAGTCCGGATCCATCAAGTAACAGAGTCTGGACCCATCAAGTCACCGAGTCTGGATCCATCAAGTCGACGAGTCTGGATCCATCAAGTCACCGAGTCTGGATCCATCAAGTCACCGAGTCTGGACCCCTCACGTCACCGAGTCTGGATCCATCAAGTCACTGAGTCTGGATCCATCAAGACACCGAGTCTGGATCCATCAAGTCACCGAGTCTGGACCCATCAAGTCACCGAGTCTGGATCCATCAAGTCACCGAGTCTGGACCCATCAAGTCGACGAGTCTGGATCCATCAGGTCGACGAGTCTGGATCCATCAAGTCGACGAGTCTGGATCCATCAAGTCACCGAGTCTGGATCCATCAAGACACCGAGTCTGGACCCATCACGTCACCGAGTCTGGACCCATCAAGTCACCGAGTCTGGATCCATCAAGTCACCGAGTCTGGACCCATCAAGTCACCGAGTCTGGATCCATCAAGACACCGAGTCTGGATCCATCAAGTCACCGAGTCTGGATCCATCAAGTCACCGAGTCTGGACCCATCAAGTCGACGAGTCTAGATCCATCAAGTTGACGAGTCTGGATCCATCAAGTCACCGAGTCGGGATCCATCAAGTCGACGAGTCGGGATCCATCAAGTCGACGAGTCTGGATCCATCAAGTCGACGAGTCTGACTACAAGCATAGTGTTACTGGGAACCATATCTGTGTAAGCAACATATGGTGGTGTGAAAGGTATATTATCCCTATTTGTTGTTTCCAAAACACCTGTGACGTGTTATCTTACTCACACTTATATTAAACACTGCAAAGTCCAATACACAACAGTTGCGAATACCTGACGAAAAGACCACGTGGGCGGCAGGTGCTCGGCGCTGTTCCGGGTGGGATGGGGAGAGATTGTTCCATGAGATTTAGGCAATCCATGGACCCATCCTCAAAATATATACGTCGTATATAGCTCATTTAATTACACAAAGTTGTCAGTAAAAGGTTTTCACATTTTAAATTATATACGCTTCAATGACAAATTGTTTATCACATATGTATATGGGATTAGTGGTGAGCAGCTTTTAATGACACATTTTATAACCCATAGGCTTCGGTAATCGATGACAAGGTGTAAACCTGTCATTCTTGGAGAATTCAGTCAAATCAGAACAGGGAGGATATTTCCGAAATCAAAGGATATGCCACTATTGGGGAACTTTGTCAAAGCCGAATGGTTGAAGGGAGATAACTCTCATCAACAGCAAGCACTGGTTTTCATGAGCGCATCGGGAACATTTGACATATCGCAGACAGAAAATGTATTCAATTACATACATTGTGTATTGACTTATAAACCATTTTAACAGTTTTCCTCTTTTGTCTGATCTGTGTTTTTATGAAATGAGTTCTCGCTTTTCAGAAATGAAATAGTGATTACTTGCTGTTTTAATATATATATCAGATCATGAAGCAGATTAGTTCATTATCCTATTTCCATCACTTAGTTTGCTCATGTTTAAAGACATGTGATATATTTGGCGAAATACCGCACCATAATAACTAGT